ACGAAAATCATTCATATCATTGTGATCGCTACCGTTCTAGGCATATTTTATCTGTCTACCTGTGAAAATATTACGCTAGTCATAAATCGAATATGAGATTGGGTTTAAAAATAATCCTGCAGCCAATGTAGACACTACATTTAACAGCATTAAAACATTATACAACATAACATACAATTGGGACCAAATACACAACCCTGTAACGCAATGTGAGTTAAATACACCTAGTCAAAACGTGTGTTTGAAATCGATCAGCCGAGAAAAAAAGGCGGTCTCCCGTGTTTTAATTTCGTTTACCGATAGTATTGTCCAGACATAACGGACTGCGAACTATTCATGTATCATGTGGTATGTGCAACAACAAAACGGTATACCTATCAGTATATACCTAATACCACGGATGTCCCATGCATGTTACACTGTAAGTAGGTACTGCATATTATTAAATTATTACACGTTTGGGCGTATCGCGAATATTATATTATACGTCTATAAAAATATATGTCTTTGGAGTCTACGATAAACAGCTACGGTCAGTGATAATTGTTATTCTGTTTAATACACACAGGAAATAATATTATATAATACACGAGAGTCATACGTAAAACTATTATGCTGTTTAATAGCAGTGTACTCGTATACAGTATTTATTATTGTTGATTCGATTCTCTAGCTGCAGCTAAAAGCATTAGAACTGTCTCTCGGAAAATCAGTTAAAACACATTGCAGATTAATTATTTGCCACGGCATGTTTCTATAATACATCTCATTCGATGATATAATTATTACGTACCTATACCTAACTCCTATATTACAGTAGTTGGGGGTAGGTACCTACGATATTCTATTTAAAGATATCAATGCAAAGTAAATGTATAATAAATAATGATATACAATCAAGTGGGGAGCATTATTAATCCAAACATAATAAGATTCTTTGATTTAGTTTGATATTCTAGAAGCGTCCCGCAAGTTAATTATTATCATGTTTTATACTTACAATCGAAGACGGATAATCATTTTCAACAGTTACAGAAATGCGTAGTCTAGTACCTAATTTATAGTATTAGTTTATATTGTGAATGTGATACAACATAAGTATGACAAAACGAATAACGAAATAGTTTGTGTTTATATCAAGCTGTCTTTGTCATTGCCTTTGTGACTATTGATATTTGATATGCTTGCTATGTATGCAATGTAAGTACAACATTACTATTAATAGTATTGCGGGCATTTTCAGCAGTTATTTTGTAAATAATGTTAATGCATAACTTACGTGATACGTTCATTTTTCGAATATAATCGTATGATATAGATCCGTGTGCCCACAAGTGTTGTATTAGAAGCTGCAGCAGCGTCTGCCTAAACATCATTGATTACGATCGTCATATGAACGATATTAGGAACAGTTGGCAAGATGTTAGCCTTTCGTTACAGTTAAATCGCAGCGATAGAATATTTAACATTTTTGCAAGATTAATTAATTATTTTAGACATAACTACACGCGCAGTCAAACGTTCATTAATTTGCAATACTCACACATAGGTTTACGCACAAACGCGATAATATTGTATAAATAGATACTTACAATGCAATTTATACACACCCACGAACATGTACAGACACTTATATTTATAAGTTATAACGTACATATACACAGTATAATATGATGTGTAATCAAAAGTTAGAATAATAATTATGTTAGATACTTTATGTCACACAAACGATTAATGTTATTGGAAATTTGTCATTAATATATAAGCGTTCATATCGAGCATGACTCTCAGATGCTGCTTTACATTGAATGTTCGATTTTTTTATGAGCAGACAACTATTACAAATTACAACCCATGTACATCGTTTGTATATAAAACATTGTATACAGATGCGTAAACCTTTCATTCTCGTAAACGTTTTTTATCGAAGTACTTTTTACAATACATTAGATATAGTAGATACAATATTATACAAAATATATAATATAAAATTCGATCACATAAAGACTTTGCCGTCAACGTATATAACATGAAGCTCGAAGGAGCGAGTGTAAAATTATTGTATATATAATATTATTGAGAACAATATATTTTAACTTGCACTGGCGAAACGATACAGCAGGCTGTTCTGCGTTACAGCAGACAACAGTTCGTTCTTGGATATTTGTACACAACAATTCGATGAACTACGATTACAGCCCAACTTTGATGCAAAACATGTGATAAAATATAATGACGCGTTTATAAAAATCCGAATGCTTTTCGGTAACTCTATAAATTTAGCAAACACTCTCCAGGGGCGTCCGCATAAATAATCTGCAGCACGATTGCAAAATCTCGAGGATGCACGCGTTGTAGTAAGAAATCGATTAACGAAATCTGGATGAAATCTAGATCTATTATTATTTCAACTTTCCAAATCTCAGTGGGTGCAACGGCGGCACCCTGTGAACACCGCTGTGATGGATGATCGTATTTATTTTTATTTTATGAATATTTCGAGACGCAAGGCGTAATCATTTCCAGTTTAATGTGTCATAACATCATCGCCGGACGTATGTATCTACCTGTATGTATCCATATATAGTATAATATATCTGTTCAGTGTTCACTGGAAATATAGGTTTTGAAACCCATAAAAAACGCCTAATGTTCAGGTGTGTAACGAGCCTACAAAATGTACAGCACCGCAAAAATGACGAAGGTCTCACGCTAAATTGAACGAGATCAGTATAAATAATGTATAATTATGTATATTAAGGCGTTCGCACTATATACTTACCTGCAAATTATTCAAAATATATTTTCTAGAATTATTACTCTGTTCTACACATTTATAAATTTTTTAAGATTAAGTAGCATTACAAATACCATAATAAACTTTGTAACAGTATTTTTGCTAGTAAAATCCTGTGTAATTAATACTTCTGGGGTTAATGGATTCAATTATAACTAACAACTGTTTTCTTTGTTTTCCTTTTAATATTCACCAAAAACAAGAGTAACCTTTTTTTGACTTCATTATTATAACCTTAACCATATATTTTACATGTCTAGTATTCCCATAATTATATTATAATGCATACATTTTTGGTTAATTATTTTAAAAATGTACATCGTTAATTCTCACATCTCATAAACATTAACTTACAGCATATTGGCCATTGTTTCTTCGAATTTATATTTAAAATTTTAGTTGAAATCTTACCAGGAATTTAATCAAACATTTTTGTGCAAAGATCTATCATACTTAAACTTAATATAGACGTAATCATAGACCATATCACATAATATTAATAATGTGTGGACATATTTTGTTTTTCATTCTTAGTATTTTCTTTTTACGCAGGTACACATGTTAAGGTATCAACGGCTGTTGAATTTCTCATAGTTTTACAGTTTGTATTGTTAGTATATTGTAAGTAAATGTAAATGTAAATGATAGCCAATAGTGCATTATTATATATAATATTTAACATAATATATTATTCAACTTCGAAACAAATTAATTGGTTTTCGAAATTTTGTACCTACTATTGTATGTATTATAATTTTGGAATTTTACGTATAACATATTGTTAATAACATGCATTAACCAATATAATTTGAAAACTAAATGTGAATACTTTTTATGAACAATTCTCGTAGAATATTTATAGATGATACATCATAATAAAATATTTTCAACAAGTCCTGTAATCGTACTAATTCAATTTAAATAAACTTAATACTGATCTGTGAATATATGACATTTTGGGAAATCTAGGTAAAAACGTCAATATTTAAAAAATGTAATTATTGTTTATTTATTTTTGGTATAAATTCCAAACTCAAAATATTAAGACTTAAGAGTAACATAATATTACAAACCATTTGTTTATTTTCAGTACCTATGTATAATAGTACAATTTCAAATGACAGTTAACTTTTATTTGATTAAAATATTAAATTATTTTTAAAAATCTATAATGTAGTATATTATTATATTATATGTAAAATGTAAGTACTATTTATACCTATACGGCTATACTAAAAAACTATTTGATTATAAACTACACAAAACTAGCGATTGTAATTTATAATAATGAAGCTAGTTATGTGTTGTTAAATAATCTGAGAAATAATTATTTCACCAAGCTGTTTAATGATTTATTCAAAACAGATTTTATATCACAAATTATATGTTATAAATGCAATACCGCAAGAAGTTGTATTTATACATTTTTGTCATTTAAGCTTTGTACTTATTTGTAACTCGTGTACCTCCTAATTTTTATGTGATTTACAAGATAGTTTACCATAAGGGTTTTCTTGCTTAGGATGATATCTTTCCATAATTTGGTCTTAATATGTTTGTCCAAACTTGATTTTATGATTGACTATCAAACTTGATTTTATGATTAACTATTTTACACAATATTTAAGCTATAGCCATATGGATACACAGTTTATAAACGAATTGTATAAAAAACTTCGTTGAAATTTGCAGATCGCTTAAAAATCGGTTGGCTTTTGGACGTGACGGACGTGATTCGTTCTCAGTCGACCACATACCGCGTTCGGTCCTCAAACACGTATACAGGTATAACGCAGTGTGTATGCACGTACCTATATTATTATACCCAATGCCCATGTATAATAATACTTGGACGTCGACCGCATATTTTGGATTGACGAGACTGCTATAAATAAGTTACATATACATACATTTATGCAGTATGCACACACACGAGTACACGACACAGACCGTTCTTCGCCTTTCGTCATCGCCTCACGACGAGGGTTGAGGATGAGGGGTCAACTCGAAGAGGAATCCAATTTTTTTTTTTGGAGTCTAGAATTTGTTTTTATTCATTTATTTATAATTTTTTTTTTACTGAAAATTTTCGTCTTCTGCCGGTACGTCAGGTGCTCCTCTGGGCGGCCCACTTTTTTTCCCCTCGGGTACTCCGAGGCGGCGGCGGCGGCGGCGGCGCACAACAACAACAATCATTACGAAACTGGTTTGCCCGGGTTACGGCGGCGGCCACGGCGGCATTCAAGAGCATAATACTGGCCGGTCGGAGCACATCACATGCGCTCGTCAGCAGCCGCACACGCACTACCATACTCTCGCGCGGCGTCCGTCTGTCCGTCCCGTTCCGTCTCGTCACGTCTCGAGCAGGCTCCTCGAACTCGGTCGATCTACAAGAACATTTAAACATTTATTAGTCATCAGACCTACATGTGTGTTTCTAAAATGTCGTATTTCGTGGTATCAACGACGCCGTGTACCTGTGTATGATGTGTAATACTGAGTTGTAAGCGAACTCATAAGTCTCGTATCGCCGGGTAAAATTCGTATAAATTATATGACATTTTCTGACGACAAAGTGCGGTTAAAGAGGCTATACTATGTAATACGGGCTTGTCGCTTATAATAAGGGTTGAGAATTTTTTTGTTCAATCTCGCCGTATACTGTTTTAATTTAAACATAATACACTAATACGAATTGCATTTTCACCGTTTGCTCGTTTTTGTTTATGTGCGCTCGGATAAGACGTGTTTGTGTGTGTGTGCCCTTTGCAGCGGTCGCTTAAATGGTCAGGAAACCGAAAGACTTAAACATGGTAAGCTTTTATTTTGTTTGATTCAGTATCAGATTTAACAGATTGTACCCCACTGCATGTGCATGTATTATATTACCTATGTAATGTACCCAATATTTTTAAACCCAAAGTGCGTAGTTTGGCTGAAAAGGAGCTCAGGAACGGGATAATATTTACTATTTATCTATTCGCATTTCATAAACATAATATTTTAAACTCTACATCAAAAATGGCTAAAGATACGAATTGTACAGCATATACAACTGAAGTCAAACTAAAAGGAAATTGATGTAAATCTTCTCAAAATCATATTATATAAGTAGGTACCTAGGGCGTAAGTTTGAAAATTAGTTAAAAGTTATAAGGTGCAACCATTTTTTTGAATAACGACCCCACGGCCCACATACATGAAATAAACAAAGATCATCTTGAAAATCAAATATTTATTTAGTATTTTATTAGTTGAATAAATAAAAAACAAGCATAATGGTTTGATATAAACAATATAATATATTATAATACATATTATATTGCCGATATTTAAATTCGATTTAATCTTAATTGGTAATACATTTATTTTTGCTATTTTTTATGCTGTACTCTGTATATAAGTATAATTTACTAATTCCTCGACAGTCTCAACATATCATAATTATTGTGTTGTAACTGAGCCAAATATCGTAATACTTTTTACACGTTTTATACTCATTTGACATATTCTGTACACCAGTACACTGATGATATATCGATTTATTTATGCATAATATTACATTCCGGAAATACTTTATTTAAACTGAGAAAATATTTATAAAAAGGTTATACCTGGTTGTCTTTAAATCAATAATAAATAATAATCTATATAAATAAACTCTTTGAAATTTAATTAATTTTCAAATTGTAATAAATCAGTAGAAAAAAATCGTTTTCAACTGAATATTTGTTTCCTATGATAAAACATAACTATATAAAAATAAGGAGAATTTTTTTTACATATTTATTATTATCATCAATCATATTTACAGCAACATTAAGTTGTAGTTATAAAACCTCGATTTTACTCCAATACTTTAATTTTGTTCTAATAGTTTACATTGGTAAGAATGTAAATCATAGACTAAAAGGTTTATATAACTATGATAACTATAGAAAGATAGATCACCACAAAAAAATTGTATCATAATATAAAACATTAGATTGTTACATTAAGCAATTAAAAATGTAAGCATATCAATCGATTAAAAATAATTCATTGTTGTATAGTATTACATTTTTTTTTGTGTTGTACGTACATAATTTATTTCATAAATTATAACCACTGGCCAACGTTTACAACAAAACCGCTATTTTATATGAAAATGCAAGAATGTGAATTTAATTGCTTTAGCCCAGTTTTTTTTTTATTAAATGTCCGTAGCGAATAGATGGGTACCAGATTTTCAAGATGAACTGTGTCAGCACATTATATTATCTTATACTAGTTATCTTATACCTACATTTTATTATTTAACATTTAAAAAAGTTGATATGGTATGTAAAATGTAAATGAACGGTTATGATATGATTTATTACTTTAATTCTTCCCGACGATTAAAGACAGAATATTATATTACGTGTTTATAATGTAATTGATTATTATTATTACCTGGCCAGTGATCGGAGAACATAAAAAAATAAAAATATTGTGCTGCCTATGAGTAAATTGTTTATATTATGTTAGAAATTCATTAGTGTTTTTTTTTTATACATCCACAGTATGCAATTATTTACATATTATACAAGAGAAAAAAAACTCGTACAAATAAAATGATAAATAATTTAATTGAGAGTTTCAAAACACGTATGAAACTTAACTATTAACTTCATAGTTCATGCTGCAGTGCTATTGAATATCGAGACAGTAAAATATTAATACCCTCTTATTAGGGGTGTGCAAAAACCGAATAGCATATACAAGCTCAAGGTTACATCTACTAATGATCGGCCACATCCGTAATTACTATATTTGATATCGTGGAAAAAAAGAAACATCGAAAAAATAATATAGGTAGAATATATGCACACAATAAATTATGTAGTTACGCTATATTTAATTTTAGTCTATACCAGCTAGTTATTGTCAGGTATGTTACACGTACTTACTTTACACGTAGCCATTTAGCCATTAAATATGTAGATACCCATTATTATTATTGTTATTTTTTCATCACGTCTTCATCTATAAGTAGTTATATTAGTACTAATAACTGTTTTAACAATTACACAGTTAGCCTACCATAATATACAATGCGTATACTTATAAAAGTATTATTTGCAATAAGATTTTCTTAAATTATTTAATACTATTGACAATGATTTATAACACGTACATAATATAGATATAACGCGACTAGTTTGCTTTAGTAAAAACGATTAATTTTTATTGACCTAGCGTTATGCTCATAAATGCCTATCTATATTACGACGATATGTGGTAGGCCATGTATAATAATATTATAGAAATATTATGATAAATTGAATGAATTAGATTATTGAATAACTTTCGGGTCCTGTTCATAAATTATATACCTACTGATTTTACGCAATAATATTTTCTAATCGACGAAGAAACAAGACAGGTTCAAGATAGGGTAAACTGTAAACTTTCTCGATTAAACATGCAATGCTAAATAATTAAAAATGAATCATAATTCCGCATTGCTGGAATTTAACTTGGGAAATGTAGACTCAAATAGACAAGTATTTGAAAAAAAAATTTGTGACAAGTTATACATAAAATACTAAAAATATTAAATCGACTTGGTTAAATTATTTCTATTGTGTTGTGAATATTTTGACGTATTATTTTTTTGCGTAATATAAATTATTAAATATTCCCACGTGTTAGTAAACAGAATACAGAGTATTATAATAAAGAAGGTTAAGTCAATTTCATGTACTTAAAAAATAATTTCATGGTTCATGCATATTGCCGGAAGTTATTTTTAGTGTGCATTGGAGTCGAAACACTTTGAATGTTTATTTGTTTAACAGTTCATTATTCCACTAATTAACATTTAATTGGAAAAATTATCCTCAACACTTTTACAGGATGTCAATACTATACATAACATTCAGTATTTCAGTATTACGTTACGCGGAATGAATTTTAGAAAAAAAATAAAATGCTTGATTTTGTTAAATTTTGTTCTATTGTGATTTAATACTACTGAATAGTTCTAAATATATAATGAACCGTAGGGAAGCTATTAAAAATAGTAATTTATTTCTATACAAAAACTGAACAAAACACATTTTAGCTATATAAATTAGTTTTAAAATTTTAAGCATTTTGAACATTTCTCATTCACCGTTTGTACATGGTTCAGTGTACAGTGTACTTACACTATTAATAAACTTCACCGTGAAAAGTTATTTGAAGCAAACTTACAAGTATCAATATAAAACAACTACAGACAGAATACTTATACATGTAACTTAGACATTTTGATTCGTAACTAAGAATGATTGGATTATTGTTGGTAGGTTATTCATGATTACCCTGGAAATCCAACTACATAAAATATAATACTTGTTTCATTTTCACCAATTCAATACCATGCAATTAATGTTTTCTTTCTGTGTCGGCAAAATTTAAAATTATATGTTTTGTACGTCTGTATATATATGAGATGATATGATATGCAGATAATGCTGCAGAAAAATAGTACATATAAGTAAAAAATATAATATATATACTACCTGCTATAGTGGCAGCTTTATGAGAAACTTTAAACAGACAAATAAATAATTTGATTTTCAAGAAATGTTTTCATGCACTGAAAATTAATATACATATTCTGAACACGTGGTATATTATTTTATCTCCACTTGAGTTATCGTATATTCGTATGTTATAAGGTATAGTCGTATAGAACAAATAATGAATAGACATTATAACTATCAGTTACTATTTTATCTTTTATTTTTTTTTATTAAAATAATCTTTAAAATCATATTAGACACATAGGTAGTTGGTAGGTTTATGAGGATAAATAATAAGAAAGAGTGTTGATAAAATTTACAACGACTGGTGTTTATTAGTGGCAATTGGACTTGGTTGAGGAAACTATTCTTCAAAAGTATTTTGTTACTTAGATATTAATATAAACAGTGGGTTCTCATTGGTACTTATGAGCGTAGAATCTACCACACTTGGGTAGTTCATTAATTATTTACATAACTATATAATATGTATAAGGACGAGTATACGATACACCCCATGAGCTCGAGATATATTATTAACCAAAGTAAGAGTTTTTTTTTTTTATTTATAATATAGAAAAATCTTACCGTGAGTTACTTCCAATAAGTATCACCTACCGGATACTACCTCGCACTACCAGTAGGCACCTACTTTTATTACCTAAGTTAGGTAATAAATATTTAGAAGGTATAATATCTGCAGAGTAATGAGCATTTATATAGAACCTATTATTATATAGCTTACACATAACACATAATAAGTATTATAATCCTGCAGCTTTTGCTGCATTTTGCGCTTTCCTCGTGAATTCCGCACGAGTAGCTTTTTATTACGTGCTTATTTGTCAAATACAAAATTTTTACCAGAGACGTCCGCATTAATTATCTGCAGACTACAGTACTTCTCGCCTAATCCATTATAGTGTATATGTTTACGGCCATTATAACACGGCGTATATGTTTATTATAGTCGTGTACACCAACCGGGGAATCATGATTCAGAAACACATACTATGTAATATTTAAAAAGAGGACTTTTCTAAAAAGTATATTATTTTCTCGTAAATTATACATTGAGAAGATAGATACCTGCCTCCTAATTTACTCCGGAAACCTGACGTAATCAAATATATTATTAGAATAGGTATATAATATTATATACGATTCTCTGGCCAATAGTTACCGGCCGTTCGTGTTTGTTGCAACTTGAAGCAGTAGCGGCACACCAAAATCAATCCAGTCGGATAGTGCGTGTAATCCGCATGGGTACCTGCCGACGT